TATTACAAAATGCTGTGCAAAATACATGTTTTTATATTTTTTTGAGCGTTATAAATAATTAGCTGGAAAGTCATTTATAACCAGTAACTTAAAAAAAGAAATAAACACTTTCTAACACTTAATATGTAGTATATTATATAAAGCAAAAACAAATTTGAAAAAAAAATAGTTTTCTACATCATTTGAAATTTCAAAATTAATAATCACCAAAAATATAAAAACAGAAACAAAGGTTATAGATTAATTTATTTAGAAGAAGCCAGAATTTAGTTTTCTGTATCACTGCCATGTAGTGTAATTTAATCAAGTAAATTGTATTTACGTTTTAAGTTTATGAATTTTGTTGCGTATATACTACATTACATTTAAAACTACACGATCGCGCGCACGTGCGAAATGTGCGTGTTTAAACAAACAAGAAGTAATACGAATTGTAAGTATTAATGACTTGCATAGAGAAAACATTTAAATAGTACTATCCAAATAATAAGTTAGAGATTTATTAAATTTATTGAAATACTTGTACAAAATACAAAGAGAAAGAGGAATTGCTAAATATATAAGAACTGTAACATTTGATGTAAATTTTGGAGCTGTTCATTGTTTATCAAAGAATTGCTCTCTTCTGTATATTTGACAAATTCTCATGCACTTAACTCTGTCATATATCCCAGAAATTTCTCACGTACAAAAAGAACAATGTGTATATAGTGTATACCATAGTTTCATTATAAATATTAATGTACTCATAGAACGTGATATAATAATCACAGTATCTTGTATGTTTGTGCAAATTATACGAAGTAATGGTAACTTATGTATATGCTGGTATAAATATTGTACATTATTTTAGTTTGTGATTATACTGTTAACGCTTGTTATATTGATAAAGCTGTCAATATGTAAATAATATATAAACTTATTGCACAGGAAACTTGAGTTTATTGATGATATATTTGATTTTCATTGCATGTTTAATACAAAATTAATATTAGCATTGGCATATTCTATATATTAATATCCCACATAATTCTTTATTGTTGTCATTACTTTAAAAATTGAAAGTATAAGATATTTATTTTATTATTAGGTTAAAATTGAATCATTTACAACTGTACATTTTTTAAAATGGCATACATTCCAGATAAGGGATCAATTTTCAGATCAATTTTATTGTATATGTAAATAAAATTGAAGTTTATTATTTTTGCAGAAAGAGAAAGATCTTTAAGAAGGTATTGATTCTGTAATAAATATTATATCTTGTAGAAAATTTACCATAAAAAGTTATGTATATTGAAATTATTTAGCAATACATGCAATAATAATATAAAATTAAGCTAATAACATGGTTGAAGTACTTATATTATTTCTTGTATTAAAAATGTATTGTTGAATTTTATGTATTTATTAATCTTTATTAATATTTCGCACTTATTAAATAATGCAATAAAACTATTTAGATAAACATTTAAATAAATACGTGATAAATTATATAACAATGCTGTTAATATATGTAATTAAACAAAATGAGAGGCTGCGTTTTTAAACATTTATTTCCCATATATTTACATGACATTTTGTTATTTATTAAACGTTTGGTACAAATTTTTTATAAATTTTTAGATTTACAAAGAACACTAATCT